TTTATTTATTTATTTTTCCCCCCCAAAGCCCCAGTAGATAGTTGTATGTCATAGTTGCACATCCATCTAGTTGCTGTATGTGGGACGCGGCCTCAGCGTGGCCGGAGAAGCGGTGTGTCGGTGTGCGCCCGGGATCCGAACCCAGGCCGCCAGCAGCGGAGCGCGCGCACTTAACCGCTAAGCCACGGGGCCGGCCCCTAATGTCCTTTTTTGAGTCCAGGATCCTATGTTACATTTAGTTGTCATGTCTCCGTAGTCTCCTCAGTTTTTGTCAGTCGTGACCTTAACATTTGAAGAATGCTGGCCAGTTATTTTGCAGAATGTCTGAATTTGGGTTTGTCTAATGTTTTCTCATGATTAGATTGAGGTAATGAATTTTTAGCAAAAATACCATGGAAGTTGTACCTTTCTCAGTGTATCATATCAGGTGGTACATGAAGTCAGTGTCTTACTACTGGTGATGTTAACCTTGATCACGTAGTTAGGGTGGTTTGTGCTGGCTTTCTCCACTGTCAAGTGACTTTTTTCCCTTTGTAATTAATAAATATCTTATGAGGAGATACTTTGAAACTATGCAAATATCCTGTTTACATCACACTTTTGCTGCCTAATTTTAGCATCCATTGATGATTCTTACCTGCAACAATTATCACTGTGGTATTTACCTGATGGGATTTTCTATTCCTATTATTCTTTCTACATTAATTAGTTGGAATTCTGCTGTAAGAATGAGCTGTCCTTTCTCTCCAATTTATTTATTTATTAGATTATTTATTCATAATAGTAAATGGATATTTCTTTTATTTGCTAGATTATAATCCATTTCTATCATTATTTATTTTGTTGTTCAAATTATGCCAGATTTGGCCATTGGGAGCTCTTTCAAATTGGCTCCTGTATCCTTTTGACGTGTCCCCATCGTTTTTTGAGCATCTCGTTACCTTTTGGCGCTATAAGATGTCACACACTCATCTTGTACTTCCCTTGCCCAAGCCCTGGAATCAGCATTTCTCCAAGGAGTCCCAGAACCAATATATTTTGAGCACTTACTGTATGCTAGTCAGTTTAGTCTTCACAACAACCCTGTGAGGTAAGTTAAGCAAGTCGTCTTATCCCCACTTTATAGATCAGGATTCTGAGGCTCAAATGGATTCAGTGAGTTGGCCAGGGGTCCACTGCCTCTAGCTAGAAATCTGTGATTCTCATATTTAAAACTATGGTCTAGGAATCAACTGTGAAGCCTAGGAAGAAGTACCGATGAAGTCATACAACCCTTTGGGGCTTGGCTATGTCTACTTCACATGGGCGACAGCATGTAAAGGGGCCTGGGAACAAGCCTTCTAGAATAGGAGCAAAATCTTCATAGAGACAGAAAGCAGATTAGCGGTTGCCTAGGACTGAGGTGGGAAAAGTGGCAGGGAAATGAGGAGTGACTGCTAATGAATATGGGATTTCCTTTTGGTGTGTTGAAAGTGGTCTAAAACTGATTGTGATGATGATTGCACAACTCTGTGAATATACTAAAAATCATTGAATTGTTCATTTTAAATGGGTAAATTGTATGGTATGAATTATATCTCAAATTTAAAAAAACTCATTGTGATTTTGATTGGAATTGCAATAAACATACAGATTAATTTGGAAAAAACAAACAAAATCTTGTACTTTGTGAGGTACACAGAGGTACCTCTTGTTTCTTTCCTGGGTATTTCCCCCCTTGCTTCTGCCTTAGTATTTAGTAAAATTTACTTTCCATTCCGAGTCAGCAGGCCTAAAGGGACCCAAGGGCTCGTAGGTATTGGTGGCCACACTTAGATTTGAGTATATAAGGGTAGGTATAACTCAGGGGCAGGGTTTGCTTACCTGTTCGTCCCTGCTGGAGAATCTTCCCAGTGTTCAAGTTTGGGCTATAGAATTGATTTGTAATAAAAAAAGAATTTCCCTTATACCTTCTTATACCCTGCAGCTTCTTGGATAGGGAGAGGTTAGCTGCAGGCATCTATGCCTGCAGCCGAGAACAGCCACAGCAAGCTCCCAAGGCTATTACCTGTTCTTGGTGAACTCCCAGCACTGGCACTTCCAAGGGATTCCTTCCATTCTCTTCCCTCCCTTTTTTTTCATTTACTCTCTTTTAACTAAGACACATGACTCAGAAATAGAAGATTTCTCCTCTCTCATCTTGTCCCCCAACCCCTGCTTTCCTGCTCTGATGGGCATGTTGCCCTGGAAGTCTATCTATCCGCGCCTCTGCTGGCGCTAGTGATGTTCAATGAGCACTTCTTTGAGGGGCTTTGCCCAGGAGCAAGTCAAATGCCCTTGCCTTTGGGCTACCGTCCTTGCTTTTTAAATGAGGAGGTAGACCTAAGTGATTTCTCCATTCCTTCCTAGCTCTGACTCTAGAATTTCTCCTGCCCCATTCAGACAACTTACATCTGAATCTACACTTGGACCTACACCTGTGGGTGTGCGTGTATGAGCTGGGAGGCAGGGGAGTGGTGTGGGTATTTTCTCTGCTGAAGTACGTCTATAGTTGGGAAGAGTGTGAGAAGAGAGAAAGGGAGCTGGCAAGCCGGAATTGCCACCCCGTGAGCTGGGACTCTGGGCCCTGTTGCACGCTCTCAGGGCTAATCCTAGGATCACAGCCTTTAAGGTAGGGGGCCCTTAACTAGGCACAGCTTGCACAGGAAGATGATTCCCCGTCTAGCTTGATTTTTCTCATTAAACAAGAAACTACTAGGGCATTTGACTTCCTTTTGGAGGATTGCCTGAATGTGATTTATTTAAGAAAAATCTGATCTTGACTCTTTCTTTGCATGTGATATTTGATTTGCTTGTTGTTATTCTGCCACTTTGCAGCTGAAGGAATGTATCCGAGCTTTGGATCAGGAACACACCCACACTCCCTTCAGGCAAAGCAAGTTAACTCAGGTAAAGTTAAATGTGAGCTTTGAGCTTGTTCTGGTTCACTCGTTTGTTCCTTCCTCCATTCATTTCTTTGTTCAGCGGAGCATCCAATTCTAGCCAGCATGAGGCTGGGGGGGTGGGGGCGGGGGACAGACGTTGTCCCAGACAGCGGCGGGACGAACGGGGAAGGAGAGCAGTCACGCTCCTTCCAGGAGCTCTCAGTCTAGGAGCCACCACGGTGTGAGGCAGTCGGGCTCCTGCAGGGGCAGCACTGCTCTTCTGGTCACCATCCAACCACTTTCTGCTTATTTCTAATGTAAAGAAACCTCAGTGATTTAGTGGCATCTCTGAGCCTTTGAAGGGGGTGGGATGGGGGGGCGGGTAGCTGTTCTTGGTACTTTCTTAGCTGTAAAACTTAGACCGATATTTCAAGACAAAAAATAGTGGCTGCAGTTAAAAAGAGTGAGATTGATTTTTGGCATGTACTGATAGGAAAGATGACCAAAATCTATAGTTAAAAAATATGAAATGAGAAAAAAATTACACAGAAAAATTATGCATATATTAACTGATTATTCTGAGTGGTAGGAACTATAGGTAATCTTTTTCTTCTGTTTTTCTGTCATGAAAATGTGCTTCTTTATTAACGGAAAACACCAATAAGTCAGCATCTGCAATGGCTGCTGAAGAGTGGCCCATGGAGGGGTTTGCCTATGTACAAACGGCGATGAAGACAGTTGTGGGTGCCTCTGGTTCCTTTCTGCGCCAAGTCCTGTGAGGACTCAGACTAGGTAGAGGGCAGTCTAGGTGAGGGTCTTGGTATTCTGGGAGAGGTTTTCACACTGTGCAGCTAGACTAGTGGTTGCACAGGGCCGGGAGCAGAACCTGTAATAACATAGCTCCTTGCTAGTCAGAATTGGTGATCTGTGGGTTAGATTGTATCTTCTCAAACATGATTTCAACCAAGGACCTTAGGGAACCCTTCTTATAGGTGGTTAGTCCTGATTCTGATATTGGCTCTGTTATTTTTTTTTTTTTTTTACTTTTTTTATTTATTTTTTTATTTATTTATTTTAATTTTTTGTTTATTGCAGTAACATTGGTTTATAATATTGTAAAAATTTCAGGTGTACATCATTATACTTCTATTTCTGCATAGATTACATCATGTTCACCACCAAAATACTAATTACAACCCATCACCACACACATGTACCGAATTATCCCTTTCACCCGCCTCCCTCCCCACTTCCCCTCTGGTAACCACCAATCCAATCTCTATCTCTATGTGTTTGTTTATTGTTGTTATTATCTACTACTTAATGAAGGAAATCATACCGTATTTGACCTTCTCCCTCTGACTTAATTCACTTTGCATTATACCCTCAATGTCCATCCATGTTGTCACAAATGCCTGGATTTCATCGTATCTTATGGCTGAGTAGTATTCCATTGTGTATATATACCACATCTTCTTTATCCATTCGTCCCTTGATGGGCACTTAGGTTGCTTCCAAGTCTTGGCTATTGTGAATAACGCTGCAATGAACACAGGGGTGCATGTATCTTTACAAATTGGTGTTTTCAAGTTCTTTGGATAAATACCCAGCAGTGGGATGGCTGGATCATACGGTAGTTCTATCCTCGATTTTTTGAGGAATCTCCATACTGTTTTCCATAGTGGCTGCACCAGTTTGCACTCCCACCAGCAGTGTATGAGAGTTCCCTTCTCTCCACATCCTCTCCACCACATGTTGTTTCCTGTCTTGTTAATTATAGCCATTTTGACGGGCGTGAGGTGATATCTCATTGTAGTTTTGATTTGCATTTCCCTGATAGTTAGTGATTTTGAACATCTTTTCATGTGTCTGTTGGCCATCTGTATATCTTCTTTGGAGAAATGTCTGTTCAGGTCTTTTGCCCATTTTTTAATTGGGTTGTTAGTTTTTTTGTTGTTGAGATGCATGAGTTCTTTATATATTTTGGAGATTAAGCCCTTATCAGATGTATGGTTTGCAAATATCTTCTCCCAATTGTTAGGTTGTCTTTTCGTTTTGTTGATGGTTTCCTTTGCTGTACAGAAGCTTTTTAGTTTGATGTAGTCCCATTTGTTTATTTTTTCTATTGTTTCTCTTGCCCGGTCAGACATGGTGCTTGAAAAGATGTTGCTAAGACCGATGTCGAAGAGCGTACTGCCTATGTTTTCTTCTAGAAGTTTCATAGTTTCAGGTCTTACATTCAAGTCTTTAATCCATTTGGAGTTAATTTTTGTGTATGGTGTAAGGTAAGGGTCTACTTTCATTTTTTTGCATGTGGCTATCCAGTTTTCCCAACACCATTTGTTGAAGTGGCTCTGTTATTTTTTAAAACAAGTTCCCCATCCCCAGAAAATGCGTTCCTATTTAATTAAAAGAAATTTTCAAACAGTACATACAAGTACAAAGAAGATAGTAAAAAAGTACCTGAAAATCCCACCTCCCAGTGATAAGCACTGCTGCACTTTGGTGAACATCCTGCCAGGCATCTCTCTGCCCATATATCTACACGTAGATCCACTTACAGAGTTATGGAATCATATACCTTTTTCACTCAAAGAAAAGTTTTAGATCTTTCCATGTACCTAAGTACAGAGATGCATAATTCTTTTTAATGGTGTATTGTATTTAGTTTATAGTTATTTAGTTCGCTCCCTGTTTATAGACTCCTCGATTTTCCAAATTTTATTATAATAATGTTGTAATGAATAGTCTGTGTGTACTTTATTTTTTTGATCAATTGAGCAATTATGTCTTTAGGATAAAGTCGTGGAAGTGTGATTGCGAAACCAGTAGTGTGCATTTTGATACAGATTGCCAAACTGCCCTCCTGAAAGCTTGTTCCAGTTCGTGGTACACGGTATATGGGCAGCGTAGCAGTGTACGAGAGTTCCCATTTCCTTAGACCCTCACTAGGGCAGGGTATCGTTTCTTAATCTTATAGGTGAAAAAATATTAGTTTTTTAAATGGTTTGTTTGCATTTCTTTGATTAGTGGTAAAACAAGTACCTTTTTTTGTGTTTATTGATCATTTGTATTTCTTCTTTTGTGAATTGCCTTTTTGTAGATGGGAGGCCTATGGCCCAGTGTCCTACACACAGTAAGTAGTCAGTATGCCCTTTGTTAGTTGACTTCATTGACCTGCCTTTGGTTTCGGACAGGTCCTGAAGGACTCTTTCATTGGCAATGCCAAAACCTGCATGATCGCCAACATCTCACCAAGCCACTTGGCCACAGAACACACTCTGAACACCTTGCGCTATGCTGACCGGTGAGTTCCTCTCAGTGGCAGGTCCTGTGTGTGTGTGTCTCATACACACACGGGGATCTGACCTTGAGCTCCCCAAGTCTGTTCTTGGGGCAGTGATCCTACTAACAGGGGAATGTACAATTGGTCATTTGAAGAATGTGACCTGGTAGGCCCTGCCATTTTATAAGTGTGAATGTGACAAGAGGAAGGTGACACATTCCCTTTCAGGAGACAACTCCATCAGTGGCTTTTAAATGGATAGTGGGAGATGAAATATTTGGAGTAAAAGGCTAAGTGAGGTTTTCTTCCTGCTAGCTTCAGCCCTACAGTGGCGATAGAGTACATATTACTTGTCAAGGCAGAAGCACTTAGAGCTTTGTATGTCCAGGAGAGACCAAACCAGACGTGTTACAGAAGGAGAAAATGAGGCCTGGAGAAGGGCAGGAACTTTAAAAGAGCTCATTGGGTGGCTGGCCTGATGGTATAGTGGTTAAGTTTGTGTGCTTCACTTCAGCAGCCTGGGGTTCGCAGGTTTGCATCTCGGGCAGAGACCTACACATAGCTCATCAAGCCATGCTGTGGCAGCATCCCACATACAAAATACAGGAAGATTGGCATAGATGTTAGCTCAGGGACAATCTTCCTTGACCAAAAAAAAAAAAAGGAAGATTGGCAACAGGTGTTAGCTCAGGGCCAGTCTTCCTTACTAGATAGATAGATAGATTAGTTAGACAGATTAGATAGATAGATAGACTCATTGGGAGTTAGTGGCAGAGCCAGCACCTCTGACTGCTGGTCAGAGCTCTTTCTGGGGTGTCTTTGGTATCTGCCAGGGTCCTTCCCTCTTACCCTGTGGTCACATGTGTCTCCTACGGTGGGTGAAGATGTTCTCATTACCATCCTTTCCTCTAGCTGCTTTGCTGCCTGGTCCTCTTATAGCCTCCTCTTCCATCTCCCAGAAGCTGTCTCTAGGGTTAACAAACTATTTGAGGGAAACCTGTTTTTTTTTTTTTTTAAATTTTGTTGAAGAATCTTTAGTATCCATGGCATTTTATGAAACTCATTGGGAAGGAAAGATGAGCTATCATTTAAGTTCCAGGAGGACAGGAACTTTATGTTTTTCTTCACTGTATCTCTACTACCCAGACAGTACTTGGTACCCAGTAGATGCACAGTAAATATTTGTGAATGAAAGGAGCTCCTCCTGGGTGTCAGGGCTTAAGTGAGTCCCTCTGTGTACCTTATCTCATTTAAATAGGAGAGAGAGTTTACAGAGTGGTTACAAGAGTGAGCTCTGGAGCCAGACTATCTGGGCCAGTACCCTGCCTCTGCTACTAGCTAGCTGAATGGCCTTCGGCAAGTTTTCAACTTCTCTAGGCCCCAGTTTTCTTATCTGAAAGGGGATAATGATAGCACCTACCTGATATAACAGTCATGTAGAATTAATGAGGTAATATGTCTGGAGGGCTTAGCACCACACCTGGCACATAGTGAGCACTCAATATATGTTAACTTTAACAGTAATGTTAATAGGTCCCCCAAATAAGTTTCCTCAAGGACGTTTCCTTTATTGCATGGTTTCCTAATGCCAGCACACTAGCACTGCGAGGAGAAAGTGAAGAGGCTGAGATCAGATAGAAGACCTGGGGTGATCCAAAATTGTTTCCAAAAAGCAGTAAGGCTTGAAGTTCTTTCCCCCCATGTATCCAGCCCAGCTTCAATAATTATTAACTCTAAGCCGATCTTGTTTCATAACTCCACCTTCTCCCCACATCACATCTTGTCAATTGCTTGAAGTGAGAACATCCTCATTAGGAGCAGAAAACAAGATATTCCTCTCAGTGCCTCAGTAAAGGAAGATGAAAATAACCCTTTCTCATAGGGGATATATTGACAAATTATTTGAAATAATTTTGGTTTAAAAAAAAGAATAGAAAAATACAATAGAAATAATCTCTACCGTTCAAAGCAGTCTGATAAATTATTGAAAATAAATATGAAAGCCATTTGTTTTATGTGCTTAAATAAGGCCTAATTAAATTAATTTAGGTAACAAGCTATGCACACACAGGATAAGGATGATTTTATTGCTTATTTTAAAACTTCCTTTCTCTGATTTAAAATTTTCATCTGCTACATACTAGAAGAGTGTTGCTTAATAGTCCAAAAATAAAGTTTCAGACGAACCCCTAGCAGGTGTTTCAGAAGACAGATCAGTGACAGGAGTGATTCTGGTAGCAGAGAGAGTCTATTGGAAGTATATAGCGTCAATGACCAACTTACTTGTAAGATTCCTTCTGGCACTCAGGTTTCTAGAATTATTTACTATGACTCCTACGAGGAAATTTTGGTGATTCTCTCTTAAGGAAACTAAAATACTCCAATTTGTATAAAAGGAAGTCATTTGGAACCATCCAGACTTGCTGTGGCAGCTCTCAGGCCATTCCTTGTACATGTGCCCTATTACAACACCTAGCAAAGGCCCCGGGACACAGTTCACGTGTCTTTAGTCACATCCTACATCTCTTTGCTGTGTTATCTGCCTGCCTTGCCTCTCAGACCTAAAAGGAAGATTTAAATCAAGTCTGTGTCAGGTTTACTATCTTGGTTTTCAGAAATGGCCAGAGGAGTCATTTGGCTACCATTGAGGATTGGATTAAAACCAAAACAACGGAAAAGACTTTTCCGGGAGCCCCCAGGCTAAAGTACTGCTCCCTCCTGGGGGATTTTAATGCAGAATCTACAAACAAACCACCGGAGAGTCACATTTTTACTTGATGTCTCCTTGTAATTTCAAATTCTTACAGTGTTTTTATTTTAAGTATCACAGAATAAGAGACTATGATCTTGGCAACTGAATCCTAGCAGAGACCTAATTCTGGATTTTTCATATTCTCTAAAATTCCCTTGTGGAATAGAGCATGGTTCGGTATTTCTCTCTCTGTGGGGTGATTTTACCTCCCACGGGACATTTGGCAATGTCTGGAGACACTTTTGACTGTCATGGCTGGGGAGAAGTGATACTGGCATCTAGCGGGTAGAGGGCCAAGGATGCTGCTAAACATCCCACCGTGCACAGGACAGCTCCCAAGGAATTATCCAACTCCAAATACCACTAGTGCTGAGGTTGAGAAACCCTGGGAATAGACAGGTCATTTTTCCCTTAATAGAATCAGCACAAGCCTGCTTATTTCCAGAGGGCTTTTGCTTCTTGCCGTGCCCAGCAGGGTTGAGGGAGCTCATTTTCTCAAAGAAGCCTGAAGGGAGGTGGTGTGCAGGACGAGACGGCTCTGACTGTGGAGAGCAGGTGCGTGGTGGACACGAGCTCCCGAATTGGCCATCTTCAGGTGTGAGCCCCTCATGGATGTAGTGCAGTTCTGAGACTAGCTCCCTGGGCCTGTCCCTCCCATGGGACTGTGGTGATTTCCAAAACTCTTCTGATCATGGAATGTGCGGTGCATGCTTATAGCCTCAGAGAAGTCACTGGTGTGTTGTTCAGGTAAAGAGAGGTATCTCATGCTGACGCAGAATCTCCCCATTTCCTCTTATTCTTTCCCAGATAAAAAAATAACTCCCAATTCTTGTAATGCTTTTCTTTGGTTTTTGTTTTCCCTGAAAGCTATAGAAAAGGAATTACAGAACATGAAGAATACACATTTAACATAACATGGTCATTTACAGGGTCAAAGAACTAAAGAAAGGCATTAAATGTTGCACTTCAGCTACCAGTCGAAATCGGACGTCTGGAAACTCTTCTCCAAAACGAATTCAGAGCTCCCCTGTGGCCCTGCCAGGGGACAAATGTTCTCCCAAAAAAGTCAAGCTAGGGCTTCAGCAATCACTCACAGTGGCACCTGGCTCCACAAAAGGGAAGGCCCATCCTCTGGCCAGCCACCCACCCAACATCCCTTTTGCTTCTGTACCTAAAGTCCCTGGTAAAAGAGGTGGCTCCAGAGGGAGTCCTCCCCAAGGGTGGGTCATTCAGACCAGCCCTGTCAAAGGAGCCATGCAGTCTAGACATTTAGCCAAAAAAACGGCAGGAGAGTCAGCCTCATTGTGCTCTGAGAAAAATCAAATCAGCAGCAAAACTGCCCTCGGGTGGGGAAGCAGGGCCCCTGGCCCAGGAAAAGACCTGGTGCACGGTAAGCTGCCCTCCAAGTGCCGGAAGGTACAGACTGTGCAGCCAGTGCAGAAGCAGCTTGTGTCACGAGGTGAGCTCTCCTTTGGCAACGTCCACCACTTAGCAGAGTACAGTCAGGCCAGCAAGGGGGACACGCCTGCCAGGCCTGCCTCTGCGGCTTGGACAGACATCCCTTCACGTCAGAAGGAGAGGGAGGAACATTTGCGCTTCTATCACCAGCAGTTCCAGCAGCCGCCTCTCCTCCAGCAGAAGTTAAAGTACCAACCACTGGAAAGGTTTTTATGCCAGTACAGGTCCCAAGAGGGGCAGCTCCAGAATGAGACCCCTCCTCCCTTCCGCTCTTATTCCGAGAGCCACGATGGAGCCCAAGCTGAGGACCCTGATGACAGCGATTTCAGTGAAGATTCTTTTTCACATGTCTCCAGTCAGAGGACCACAAAGCAGAGAAGCATCCTGGAGAACAGCGAAGGCTCGTTTTTCCTTCATCAGAAGGAGCAAGGTCCTGAGGAGCAGGTGGCCAAAAGGCGGCAGAGCCTTTTTTTTAGCCCCAGGACAGACAGTGACGAGAAGGGTCTAACTGGAAGCTGTATGTACTCCAGGGACCCCACAAGCCACAGAAGAGCAGCACTTGATCACGGCCGCAGCCCAAGTAAGGTGCCCCTGGACTGGAGCAGAGAGGAGGACTCCACCTCCTCAGGGCCTTCTCCCAGAGACAACCTGGCAGAGAAGCCTTACTGCTCACAGGTAGACTTTGTATATGGCCAGAAAAGAGGTGGCGGCCTAGCCTTTGATCTCAGACAGGATGCCTTCAGATGTAAGGTTCCTGGGCAGGCTGAGGGCAGCTTGCCATCCCCGGAAGAAGATGGTTTCACTTTCTCACTATCCCACATTGCAGTTCCTGGATCCTCAGACCAAAGAGACACAGTCAGCACACCTCTGAGAGAAGTCAGCGAAGACAGCCCAACTCTGGCAACCAGAACAATGAAAAGCAGTAACTTTTTCCAAGGAGAAGACTCTAGAGGGGAATTAGGCATGGGCTCTGAATATGCTTCTGGACTGATGGCTCCCCTCACTGTGTCCCTCCTGGAGAACCCAGACAATAAGGGCTCTCCTCCCTCGGAGCAGCCGGCCCAGGATAGGGCTGCACACAGTCTAGTGGCACTGGGCACAGAGGGGCCAGCTGTGGGCCACACAGTGTCATCTGGTGATCAAGAGGCAGTCCTGCCAGTGTCTTTAGGAACTGGGCACCTGTGGCTCTCGTCATCTCCCCCTGACAATAAGCCTAGTGGTGATCTTCCAGCTCTGTCCCCATCACCCATCCATCAGCACCCACAGGACAAGCTGCCCAGTAGGGAGGCTGACCTGGGGGAGGGCTTCCAGAGCAGAGAGACTGCACTCTTCTCCCAGGAACATGTGGATAGCGAGCAGTATGATGCTGACGCTGAAGAGACAGAGCTGGACGGGTCCCGGGGTTTCCCAGGAAAACCATTGCCCACCATACACACAGGAGGACCTCACGCTGATCCTACACTCACCCCACAAATAGGAAGTAGTGATGTGGCTGACCAGCCCTGGGCCCAGGAGAGAAAGCATCTGGCAGGGCTCGGTTGGCAGGAGCTGGGTTTGTCCACACACCCCATCAAGTTGCCCTGCTACAACGAGGACATTGCATGGCTCAAACGCAGGCTGATCCCAAGGTGCTTAGCAAGGCCGGGCTCTCCCCTGGTCCCCAGCTGCTCTCCCAAGACTGCCAGGACACTCCATCAGCCCACCCTGGGGCACGCACAGTAAGTTGAACTTTCTCTCCAAGACTTGAGCTCTTCTCGCTCCCCTAGTTCTACCCCAGCTTAAATATTCTGTCTGTTCTGGGAATGGCTATGGTTCACTCAGTGTCAGAGCTGTACTGCAACTAGAGAAGGGCTTTGTCCAGCTTTTCAAGGGAGCCCGCCTAGATGGATCTGACATCAACAGCAGGAATAAAATGTATTGGAGCAGGCTTGCCAAGGTGTGTGGACCCTCAGCCTGGGAAAGCTGAAATGTGAGTGAAGGGAGGACCTGTCCCCATAAGCAAGTCTATGACCTATTGTCAGATCAGAATCCTCTTCTTCATTCCTAGAGCTAAGCCTCCATTCCTTCCTTTGTTCCTGGAAGTGCGGCCCAGGGACACAGCAGCTGCAGCCTTGTGCCCCCAGAGCCAAGACAGCCTGGGTACCTTCCAGGATGGGGAAGGCAAAAAACAGAGGCTGGTTAATTTGTGCTGCTTTCCCCAAAGGATGCTGTGGTTGGTGCAACAGAAAGAGATGAGACAACAGCTTTAGAGGATGTGAAAGAAAAGAGATAGAGAGTTCTAGCAAGGTGCCTCTCAGCATCAGAGGCCCAGGAGCTGGACCGCAGGGTCGGCCTGTGGGAACAGGTGCTTCTTCTGTGAAGCTACAGCCCTTTGCTAGGGCTCCTGAGACCTACGCCAGCGGTCTGCCTCCTGCTCGCTGGGGCTCGGGCCAGGGCCATAGACAAAGAGAAGGGCATGCAGGGATATACAGGTGAAGAGCCCGCCTCTCCCAGGTGAACAGTCTTGCTGTCTCCGTGGTCTCCACCCATCAGTAGAGTCTGACAAAAAGCAGATCCTCCAGCTTCTAGCTCAAACCCCCTTGCTTTGGTCCCTAGAAGTAGATATGATGGCAGGCTTGGCAAGTCAGCTGCAGTGGCACAGCCTTGAGCCTTTCTGCAGGGAGGCTGTGAGCAGCTCCTGTACAGAAGCAGCACCCAGCCCTGTCCCTCAGTGTACCTGGGGCGGCAGGAGGCAGCTCCAGAAGCCCCTCTCTTTATCTCATGGGTACTCCCTAGTCTCTTGACAAGTCCTGAAAAGAACAGGTGAGGGGGGAGGAGGTGGTGGTGAGCTGGTGGTCCTGGTGAAAGCTTTGACCGCTTTGGGCAGAGGCAGCTCCTGGCCTGAAAATGAGGCTCAGCTCCAGAAAGCTGCCTAGGAGAGATGGGAGGCCCTGAGGTTCACCGCATCCCCTCTGGTGTTCCCAGGCAGGTGGTCATCCAAGCACACCAGGAACAGTTGGATGAAATGGCCAAGCTGGGCTTCAAAGAGGAGACCCTAATGAGCCACCTGGCTCCTAAGGTAAGTGGCCTTGGCTGGACACTCAGGGGCTGTTGGGAATTAGCCTGCAGCAAGTTTGATGGTCATCCTTGTTTTCTGTGGTTATGTGTGGGGTAAGGGTCTGCTGTCACACTCTAACCATTGTTAAGGCCTTGGACCTCCTCTTGCCACTCCTCTGAGATAGCCTGAGGGGGTGCAAGGACAGGTGGGAGATGGTGCTAAACCCCCGATGCCCAGGCTAAAAGGTTTCCAGCCTCTGTCCTTCGCTGTGCTGCCTTCCTTATGGCTTATTTAGGCTCTTCCCCTGTGACAATAACAGTGACCGGCCACATGCAGACCAGTGGTACATCTACAAAAACACCCCTCTGCCCTGCAAAATACCTCTCTACATAAAGAGTGTCTCAAATGCAGAGAAGTGGGCCCCACCCTGTGCCATAGTGACTAACCTGCAAGTTTTCCAGCTGGAAGAGGGGCCTGGAAATCTTCCTACAAGAGAAGAGACTAGAAAAGCAGAGCTGGCAGAAGGCAAGCAATAGCAAAAGCTTCACTCGTCCTTTGTTTCCTTTCTCAGGATTTTGAAGATTTTGTGACCCAGTTGGATGAAATCATGGCTCTGAAATCTGAGTGCATCCAGAGTCTGAGGAGCCAGCTGCAACTGTACCTGGCCTGCCACAGGCCAGCCGCAGCCCCCGAGAGGACAGTGGTGTCTTAGAGCAAGATGCAGTATGGAATGGTGGGGCAGCTCGGGGGCCTGTGCTGGGCCAGAGGGGCCTCTGCCAGGTCCTCTCACAGGTGCCAGAACCCAGCGCCTGGTCCTGCCCGTGCTAGCCTCTCCCCTGCCTCACACGGCCTTAGCTGGGCCCCCGCTCTTCTCTCAGTTGGAACTTGGAACTGTCCCTAAGTTCCAAGCCCAGGAGCATCTGTAAGGAAGGACAGATCAGCCAGAACTTATTGTGACCCTCCCTTTTTCTTTGGGGCTGGAAGAGAATTTGTCTTACTAATCCCTTGCCTGTGGAAACATACTTGAGTCTAATAACTCTGTAGACATTTCTGAATTTGGGGATCAGAGGATGGGGTGGTCAGTGGTAACCTAGAGGTCAGAGGTCACAAGCTGGGGAGGATAACATGCTGAGCCCAGGGAATTTATCAGCTGAATTCTGTGCCTTTCTTCAGGACTAAAACATTGGTGCTGGTGGGGCGGGGGCAGGCAGGGTGAGCTCTGCCCCATCAGCCCTTGGAGATTGATTTGGGGCTTTAGGTTAGTTTTTGAAAATGTAAAATGAGTAAACCTTCACTTGTGTCTTTAACAGCGGCAGATGTGTAGCTTTGTTTCCAGTTCCCCTCCCTTCCTGCAATCCAGTATTGGGACAGAAGAGGGTGCCCACGTCACTGCATTGTTCTTTTCCCATCTCCGCCTTTTGGTGGGACAATTGGCCTGTTAGAAGCCCCAACAGCTCTCATGCTCCTGTGGCAGTTCCTGGCTCCTGTCAGGGACTCCTCACCTGCCCTGCCCCCTCACGGAATAGTTGAAGAGCTGGAGGATCTCAGGCAAGTCCATCTCCTAGCCTCACCTTCACCCAGGCTCACCCTGGCTGTCCACTCCTCCTCTCAAGGGCCTGTATTCAGTATCTTGGCCTTCAGTGCTCTAGTCAACAGTCTGAGACTCTGAAGCAGAATGTTTATACACACGCGTGCATACACTTCATTTGAGTTCTACTTGCTGTGTATCTTTCTAGTGGGAAGAGGCTCAAGAAATACAAAGGGGGCTCCAGGTGGCCCATCACTTACCAAGGCCATCCTGAGTCAAACTGATCATGTGGCACAGCCTTGGCCCTGACGCCCACTATGGTGTGAAACTTTAATTTCCTAAAGGTAAAGGATAACTTCTTAAGGTTTTAAAAGGAGGGCTTAATTAATTTTAAAGGCCAGAAGAGAGGCTAACGATTTCAGAGACTACAGTCCTGCCACCCTTGGGCACCTTTTGTCAACCTCTGAGCATGCCTGATGTGACCACCAGAGGGCGGACTCTTTCCAGGTTGGTGCTTCCTGGCCCAAAGGCTCTGCAGCCCTTCCTCCTGATCAGTAAAAGAGAGACCCAGCCAAGAGCACCAGAGGGACTATGGGACAGTATTAAGTATAAGGACAAGAAACTTCAGGGATAAACCTATTTCAATCAGATACAACAGCACCACTGAGAGCTGGTGGAGCAGTCTGAATCCAGTCCTGCCTGTGGCACAGAGCACATAAATGCCTGATGCTGCTCACAGGAAAAGGGACTTCTTCCTTATCTCTGGGCGAGTCCCCCGAAGGCCCAGCCTGTCTCACCTCCCCAGTCACTCTTGCAGGCAAATGTCCGTGGCCCAGAGATGGAGCTAGGTAAGGTTTAAACAGACTGTCTGGGCCTACCTTTGCAAACCAAAAACCAGGGCAGACTGGAGGGCCAGCTCCTGGGTCCCACAAGTCTAGAGTGGGAAGAAAACACTGAAATGACAGAAAATGGTTAGGTGCTGTTCCATCTCCAGCAAATCTAAGCAGGAAATCCCTTCACCACCACTCCCCCAGCACCCCTTGGCAATAAAGAAATGATCACAGCAGGACATACCTTTTAGATTTTTATTAGTAGTTCTCTCTGAAGAATCAAAATAGTTAGCAAATTACTTTAGATTCATCAAGATGTATATCCTTTGTATTTAGATCTTTAATGATGTACAACATAATACAAAACAAACCAAAGAGACTGACTTCTATGACTAGGTGTTACTCATTGTGTGTCATCCTAGAGCAGGGGGCTGGAGGGAGAGGCTGTTCTCTGAGGAGAACTGAGGTGGTTAGTGCTGGGCGACTAAATCGGGGCCCATTTCTCCCCCACTCAATGTGCTGGGAAGGGGCCAATGATTCCTTAAACCGACAACTGTTTCCTAGAGGAGGGGACTCTAAAATCCTAGTAGGAGAGGACTGTGGTCCAAACCAAGCCAAAAGAAACAGGCTGGGGCAGGGAAGCGTGGTGACTGCCTGGCAGAAGAGGCAAACTCAGGGCCCCATGGGGAAAAGGGCATTCTTTGCACCTCAGAGACATTGCAGAACCAGTGTAACACTAGAGACTTTGTTAAAAGGGGAAAAAAATGAACAAAACCCTGGAAGAACCTTTCAATTGCACTCAACTCAGATTAGAGTTCAGTCCAGCAGTGCAGGGAAGGGAAGGGAAGCATCTAGCCCCAAAGCAGCACTGAGTCTGGCCCTCCCACCCCTTCTCCCCGACTCCTTTTGGCAGCCGGACAGGTTTCAGCCGAGGACGTACAGACCCCAGAAAGACCAAGGAAGTCTCTCTGGAGGGCCGAGGTGGGAAGGACACTTCTCAAAATACAAATACATTTAATACGGAAGGAGCCAGGACAGTTCTGGAGGCATTCACATGCCCAAATCTTCCCCACTTCTATCCAGCTCAGAGACTGACAAGCACAGTCTCCACACCTGACCTTCCACCCCCAAAAGAAAATTCCAAAGTGTGCCCCTTCTTCCCCACAGGTGGGCTCCTCAGGGCCTCCTGTGGGGGTGGTTCCGTGGCAGGGCCTAAGCAGGGCCTGGTCTCAGCTGGCTCCCGCCCGAGCCATGAGGTCTTCCAGAGCATTGTCCTGGTCATTGTTGTGTAATAGCAGAACTTCCTTAATGTCTTTCAGTTCAAAGCCCATTTCCTTAAATTTGCTCATTAACTGAAGAAACTCCATCATCTAAGGGACAGAACAGAATACAGATTAAAGAAAGGGGTCTGGTCACGCAGCACAGCTGCGTGGAGGAATGTGTGTGGGGTGCTGCTCGGGGGAGTCTGCATCCTTCGCCAGAGCCTCATGAGCCTCTCTCAGGTCTGCTCACAAGCAGAGGAAGCCTGTGGAGGAAGCCAGGGCAGACAGGTTGATGCCACGGCCCATCATCCTTCAGGAGCCATGCCCAGTCCCAACTCTTGCTTTGTTTAGGTCCCACCACGTACATCCACGCTCCCACCAAGGCAGGATACTGAACCCAGAAATGGCTATTTTCCAGGCTAAGGCAAACTGACCAGCAATCTCTCCAGTCACCCAAAAGTATGACTTTTTGGCCAGGTCATTTTTCCCTTCTCTTCCTTGGAATTCTAAGTCTTCAACCCAATGCTTCTCCCGAGCCAAACACCCAAACTAGCCAAACGCCTGTCTGGACACAGAAGATTCTGTGCTTCAACTGCCTCTGCCTGCAGTCACTGGTAGAGAAAGAGGGTTGTGGACCAGAGGAGAACCCCAGGAGAAACCACTCTGTCCCTCCTTTCCAGAGGGTTCCTGTGAAGCATGAAGGTTCCTACCTTTTCCTCTGAACACTGGTGCATTTCCAGAGCCTCTTCCACTAAAAGAGGGTCAAAGCCCTTCTCACAGAGCTGTCCATGTGCAAAGAGATAGTCAAGAATCTGAGAAAAGAAACAAGAGGATTGAGCACCTACTGCCACTCCTGTGCTTCCCAAGAGTCTTACACAACCCAGCAAGTGTGACTTCTGCTCCCCACCCTGGCTATTAGATCCCAGACAGGACTTGATTTTGTGCCTTGAACAGCATCCAACACAGCAGGACCTGAGTGACAATTTGCTGAAAAGACAGGCACACCCTTCTAAACATGAGTAGCCATTTTTCAAAGGAATTCCTGTCACAGCTGACTCACATCTCCCAGAACATCACCTCCAAAGCCTGGGCAGGATATTCTTCTAAGAAATAGCCCAAGTCAGAAAATGCCAAGGTTTAGGACTCTAGTACCCTATTTTGGAACTCCTTGGGCAGCTATGACAGGATAAACATTTCTGGAAAAAGACATCTGACCATAATTCAAGCCTAGTGAGTTATGGAGGAGGGGCAGAGAAGGGGGTAACTGGGTAACAGTCCAGTACTCCCAAAGCTTTCCCTCAGCCTAGGTCCCAGAGCAGCCCCCAAAGCGGAAGCACTGCTGCTGAGGCTGCTGGTCTCAACAAGCCCCTCTGGGTCCCCCCAAAGTCATGGGAAAGTTGATGCTCTGAGTCCGAGGGGCTCTGGGATAGAGGCAGGGCACTACTCCAGCTCCAGAGGTCTGGGACCTCACTCCTGTCTGACCACCCAACCCCCTGCCGATCAACAACTCACCTGTTCAATATTCTCTCCTTTCTTCTTCATGGCTCTCAGGACACACTCATATGAGTAGCCCATGTTGACCACTGTCGCCACACACTGCCGCTCACTGGGGGATAGTGTTTGCAGTTCAGAGTAAGCCTGGGGACAGCTGGGAGTGTTGGGCACTTGTGACATTGAGAAATTAGGCGGCGTGACCTGGTAGGAGACAGACAAGAGAATCGAGGCAAGAAGAAAGAAGACCTGGGCCCCAGAAGCCATCACTGAGATGGCCCGCTCCAGGGGCTTACCATTTCTGAGACTAATCAAACCCCTGGCCAAGCAGTCTGCCTAGAAGAAAGGGCCAGGCTGCTGGCCAGACATCCTGAAGAGGAATGAAAAGGGGAGGAGAGCTCCAGCTGAGGGAGAGAGAAGCTGGGAAGACATCTGAAAGTGTGGCTGTCCTCTGCTCTCATCCCACCTTGTAGAATGAGAGCAACACAAGAGCCACATGCCCTTCCATGCCCAAATCCCCTGGGCTTGAGCTGGAGAAAATTCTGAGACTGCCCATGGGACTGATGCCCAAGCTGGCTACTATGATTTCTCTCTAGGGCTCCACTATCCCTTTCCTAGGCTGTTGTTTCTGAGTCCTGAAGGG